GGCCACCCCGAGCACGGTGAGAAGAGGGCGGCGCCCAAGGCAGAGCCGGCCCTGGCGGACTGCTACGGGCCCCTGTCGGGGCAGCTGATCGCCACCATGAAGGAGGCCTGTCGCTACGCCCTGCAGGTGAAGCCGCAGCGTCTGATGGCGGCCATGTACACCTGCGACATCATGGCCACCAGCGACGTGCTCGGTAAGGAGGAGGATTATGGGAAGTCTGGGTCAGAAAATGGAATCTCGCTTCATGTTGTCTATTTCAATGTATTTTTATTGGTTTCAGAGAGGAAGGGAGAGGGAGAGAGAGAAACATCCATGATGAGAGAGAATCATGGACCGGCTGCTTCCTGCACGCCCCACACTGGGGATGGAGCCCGCAACCCGGGCATGTGTTCTTGACTGGAATCGAACTCGGGACCCTTCAATCCAAAGGTGGACGCTCTGTCCACTGAGCAACACCAGCCAGGGCTTCGTTTGAGCCCTTCCCCAGTTATCCCGATTCTGTCCGAGCGTGTTCCCCTGTCCACTCCATGTCCGCTCTGGCTTCGTGCCCGTGCCTTCCGCACCTCGAGGTTGCTGACGCTGAGGACACAGCCGTGAGCAGCACACGGCCTCGTCCCGAGGGCGTCACCCAGCGGGGCCGCCTGCTGGCATCCGATGAGCGTGGCCGGGTCTGGCCCCAGCTCTATCTCACGCCTGTCGGGGCCCGTCTACATCCTGTCACCACATTTGCTCCATTTAGCCCTCGACGTAGCCGTCGGCTTTCCGGGCAGCGGGAAGACAGGGTAGTGAGACCTGGCGTGTGAGACCCAGAAGCGCCCACCATTGCTGTGTGTTACCAACAGTCACAGAAACCACAGCGCGGAAGAGAGACCATCTTCCTCCTTGGAAATCTGCCTTTCACTTTCCATCTCCTTTTAGAATTTTTGTCCAGAATAGTACGTTTTGTGTACGCGTGTTCTCATGGGGGAAGCAGGCCCATGTTTTGCTGTTTGCATTTATTACTGATTTTATAAGCACGTGTCCGTCTGGCTGCTCAGTGATCATGTTCATTTTTAATCTCCGCGTGATATCGTGTCAGTTTGAGATGCTGTCAGTGACTTCCTGTCGCCCCCAAATCGGGATCCACATTGTTTCCTGTTTGTTTACTGTTAGAGAAAACGTGGCTGTGCACAGCTGTTTCCTTTCCTAAGCTCTGGGGGGAAAGGGGGCCCCCCCATGACTTTAATTCCCACACTTCCGGCTCTGAAAATGGTAGAACCTGCAGACCCGTCTTCCTGCCTGTGGTGGAGGGAGAGGCACGAGTAATCCTGTATAGTAAAGAGCTGATATGCTAATTAGACCGAACGGCAGAAGGACCGTCTAGATGAGCTTCCGGGCAAAGCCGGGCGGCGAGCCCCTGGCACGAATTCCGTGCACCGGCCTCTTGTGGTCTCTAACGCCCGAAGGAGCACAGAGCCTGTGAAGCCCCGATGGCGACGAGATTGCTCTGAGTGTGACTGTCATGGGACACTGTGGGGGCAGTTGGTTTTGAACGGGCTTAGACCATAATGAGGATTCGATTATGGGGACGGCCACAGAGTTCCAGGCGGCAGAGACTGAGCTCCAAGTGGGGGGCCTGGCGTGGCCTGTGGGCGGGGAGTGGCCTGCCTGAGCGCTGGGTCCTCGCTGGTCTGGGGGTCCCAGGGCTGAAGTAGAGGCTCCCAGGGCCTACGGGCCTCACGTACCGGCTGAGACATTGAGGGTGAAACCTTTTTTATTTTATTTTCATTGATCTCAGGACGGGAGAGGGAGAGAGAGAAACATCAGTGATGAGAGAGGATCATCTATCGGCTGCCTCCTGCACACCCCCTCCTGGGAATCGAGCCCGCAACCCGGGCGTGTGCCCTGACCGGGAATCCTGGTTCATAGGTTGACGCTCAACTTCTGAGCCACGCCGGCCGGGCGAGGTGAAGTCTTTAAAAGGGGAGCCCTGGTCAAAACCGTTTCAATCGACTGACTGTTGTGTTGCCATTTATTCCCCGGTTGGATGTCTCTCCCCTGGTGCCTGGCTTACAGCGGGCACACAGTGAGCCTTCCCTGTGGGAGGTGTGATGGGACAGATGCCCAGCTGAAGGGGTATCAGAATATTAGCAGTGAGCCCTGGCTGGTGTGGCTCAGTGGATAGAGCGCCGGCCTGTGGGCCAAAGGGTCCCGGGTTCGATTCCGGTCAAGGGCACGTACCTCAGTGGCAGGCTGCTCCCCGG